CGCGAACATATGTACGGGTCGGTTCATTGAATTGTCGAATACTGGTCGTCCGGTTCATTAAAAAATACAAAATAATTAGAATAATATTTAAAAAAACGAACCTCGGGTTCCTGTTCCAGTTCGGAACCAAAACTGCATGTTCAAAATGTATAAACTATAAAGTATTGTACATGAACCGAACTGGTCAAAACCACAGGTTTGTTTAAGGCCATGGTCAACGGGTCTGCTTGTGTCGGTTTGGGCCGAACCGACATACTGGGTCGGCCCATGACCATGTCTACAAGGTTCTAATATTAGCTACAATAATATGCAGCCCCAGGTTAAAAAAATTTCTGGCTACGCCCCTGAAAGTAACCAATAATAAATTGGTATTTTTATTATAGGATCTTTATCTATGGATGGTTACTACTAATCCAACACTCTCACGTACAATCAACTATTTCGAATATATTCCTTTTCATTTGATTTGAGCTCCCGAGATGAAAGGTGCTACTGAAATAAATAAATAAATAAATAAATAAATAAATAAATAAATAAATAAATAAATATGCATAATTCTTTGTTCTTTTTTCTTAAAAAAAATAAAGAAAAAAAGATAACACAATAATTAAATTTCAATGTGACCACATATTCTAAAGTTTCATTATTCCCATGAAACCACATTTTTTTTCTTTAATTTTATTGCTAATTCAAGACACACATAATAATTCAGATAATATAATGTATTTTTAAGGAAATACTACGGTCTCGTTACGGAATCATGCATTTCGTCGGGGTTTCAATCATTAGATCATCATGCAATCGTCGGGATAGTTGATCTGACGATTACAAATTCCGACGGAATGGTTTCATAGTGGATCCCCGTATTTTTAATTTCTCATTAAAAATAAAAAGAAAAATAAAAACGACACAGCTAGCTCATTGGTGTTTTAATTTCCTATCTCCTATAAATACAGCATTTTAGTTTGTGTGTTTGCATATTTTTTTTTCCCATTCACTTTTGTTTTTTTCTCTATCAAAATCCACACTCAAAATTTCAATAATAATACAATTATTACAAGTCTCGTTCATTCTCCCATATAAGATTAAATGATGATGTCCAAAGAATTTGCTCGCACCGTAATTGGTATTTTGGGTAAGTTTTCTTCATTTTATATATATAAATATATTTTTTTCTTTTCATCACTCAAAAATTATATAAAGTATTTGCTAATTATAAATATATAATTAAAATAAAACTAGTTGTCATGTTCGATTATATGAATATATGATATATATGTTCAATGGCCTCACTAGTAATACGTCAATTTTTTTTTTTTTTTTTTAACATGATTATATAATATACATACAAAAATTGGGATTTTTTTTATACATATATGATCAATATTTAGGTGAAATTTAATTTCGATTTTAATTAGTTGCTCACAGTCCAAATAAACTAATTGATGATCAATTTCATTTTTCCATACTTCAGGAAACATCATTTCGCTCGTCTTGTTTTTGTCCCCAGTGTAAGCATATATAATTTTTTTAGTAATTGGCAAAATATATATATAAATATTACGGTCACGTTACGGTACCATCCGTCGGGTTGTTTTAACTGTTAGATATGATCTAACTGTAAAATACCCGACGGGATGGTACCGTGGCCGTAGTATTTCCATATATATACAACCTGTAATATGTTAGATTTTTGGCGTTTGCAACTTTTTTATTTTAATAAAATATAACGTGAACTTTATTAGCATTCATAATGCAAAATCTTAGTGAAATTCAAGTACAATTCACAACAAAAAATACTTTAGGTTGTAAATGTCGAAAACTGATATAATACACTATATAGATTTTCGTTTACTCTTTAGCAATGCAATTTTTATTATTTATTTTTCTCATATAGACTCTCATTTTTTAAAAATAGACAAACATTTCACACTATATGGAAGAGAAAATCAGTTGAACAGTACTCTCCAGTCCCCTATATGGCCACATTGGCTAATTGTGGCCTTTGGGCACTATATGGAATGCCTATGGTACACCCTCATAGCACCTTAGTCGTGACCATCAACGGGTTAGGGCTTTTCATCGAGATCGTATTTTTGTCACTATTTTTCGTATTTTCTGACTTGAAAAAACGGCTGAGAGTGATGATAGTCGTGGTGGCCGTTTGCGTTTGCCTAGCGGTTTTGGCCTTGCTCGTCCTAATTTTGGCCCCAACCACCCAACTCCGATCGACAGTTGTTGGTAGCATTGCCATGGCGGCCAACATTTTGATGTATGCTTCGCCCTTATCGGTTATGGTACGTATATTTGTACTTTGTGTTTCGAGTTTTATATATAAAAAAAAAAAATGGCTCATAAATTGATTTAAAACTTACGTATCGAAATGTATTAGGGCATCTTCATTTATTCACGTTCATTTGTTCATCTTATTACATTCTCCTTTCACCTTATCTCCACAAAGTTTTTTTTTTTTTTGGTTTGTTTAATGTACATACTTCATTTAAATTTAATCTCATTCATTTAAACATTCCAAGTTACTAAAGTTTGGGTCTACTCCTCAATTTGACTTTTAAATATATATAATAGTTCACAAGCTTCAATAAATTTTATTCAGCCATCAATTACTAATAATAATAGCTCGTCTTATAAATTAAGTGTTCATTTAATAAAAATATGGTCACCATCTAATAAAAAAATGTAATGTTCAGTTATACGATTTTATTTTAACATGTCTCATTTTAGATGGTGCACATTTTTGTAACACCTTTCTATGTCCTAAAATACGAAATATTAAAATTCTTTTGTTGTGATACTATTTATATTTTAGCATTATATAAATACATATTTCACAAATAATTAAGAATGACTACAAGTATCTCTATTTTTTATTGTAATCATACAATAATAAAACAATTTTTTTTTTAGGATATTACAAATATAAATCAAATATTTTAAAAAATCAAGTCCCATGAAATAAAACCTTTTATTGCTCCCACAAAATGGTCCTGCAATATATTTAAAAATTTTAATATTATATGCATAAATATAACTTAGAATACTCTATATTTAAAATTAATACCATTATCTATCTCATATTTTAAAATTATATATATATATAAAAATAATTATAATATTTTATTTATGTATGTGTGAAAATGCACAACATGGAATACCAATATATATAAATTGGGTAAACAGACAACAAAAGGAAATAATAATTTATTATCTTGTTGAACTTAGTGGCCCCATATTTCAGCTTTTTGCTCGTTAAAACGGCAATCAACCTACTTCACGTATAGAGGAGTTGGCATGGGTTTAGCCCTTTAAATGAAATACTCAAGTTGCAATAAATGAAAATTGGGCATTTAAATGAATAATGATAATTTCCGTCGGGGTTCGTAATCATTATATTCACTATCCCCAGCGGTTACAAATCCCGACAGAATGATTCCGTAACTGGATCGTAGTCCTCGATTTGAATGTAATTAATTAATTGCAGAAATTGGTGATCACCACAAGAAGTGTGGAGTATATGCCATTTTTGCTTTCCCTTTTTACACTCCTCAATGCAATTTGCTGGACTTCTTATGCTCTTATCAAATTCGATCTCTTCCTCATGGTACACAATATTTTCATATTTAATATATATTTTTTTTTAATATGATTGAAGATTAAAATTCATGTATAAAGCCAAATTATATATGTGAGTTGCAGATCCCTAATGCAATGGGAACTTTTTTCGGCGTGGCCCAATTAATACTATATGCTGTATTCTACAAATCGAGCAAGCAAATCACGGCCTCAAAAAGGGCCCAAACACAATTGAGCTTGACAGAAATCAGGCCAGAAAGCAACAGCTGAAGAGGCAGCCTGTTATGTCCAGCCCTCTCTCGTTCATTTATCAGGCCCATTAAGAGATGTTACCCATCAAAATTACAAATTAAGTCCAGGAACCACCATAATTTTCTCAACTCAGCATCTTCACATTACCTGCATCAATATCATTTTTTCACAGATTAAAATGTTAATTATATTGTTCTACAATATTTTGACACCATATGTAATAAATAACACTTGATATGATATGATGAGATTATGGCGTGCTTTTATATAAATATATCCGCTCAAAACGAGTTTTTTTTTTTTTTTGTTAACCAGAGTTTAATTTAGAAAAAAAAAAAGTGGTATGGATAATTGGTAGTAGAATTTTTAGTTTATATTAAGATAAAATTATTAAAGTTGATTCGATGTAAAAATAGAACATAGATGATATGAAGGGATAATTAGTTAAAATTATGTGAGCTAACAAATAATGAATTAAATTTAATATGATATGTAAAAATGATTGAGTGATATTACTTAATTATTGATAATATTGAAAATAATGTGGTTAAATATTGAGAATAATACGATCGAATCAAAGTTGAGTTAAATTTCAATTGAAAATGATTGAAATTTTTTGAATAATAATAATAAAAAATATATATCCAAGCATCTCCCTAGAAACTTTCTTTCTTCAATCTTGTCATTATGACACAGAATTTAAAGCTCATCTCAAGGAGGGGAGCACGTAAAATGAAATAACAAACGACCAGTCAAAGCAGTGCTACTACCGTGTGCCTTGGCACACCCAACAAGGTGTGCCAAAGCAGTTTAAAATGAACATGTTTACACATGTTCATTTTATAAAGTAACATGTTTATTTTAAAAAAGCCTTGGCACACCTTGCTAGGTGTGCCTTTTTGCGCAGTCAAAGTTCTTCAACTTCCAAAGGGTCATTCATACATCACAGGTGTTTTTTTTCCCTTAATAAGCCAACTGAGAATGCATGACCTTTGGAGTTTGGATGCAAGAGTTTGTAACTTCGAAAACCTATTTTGACAGGATACAGTTTTGTTTTTCGGTAGTCTATACCATAAATTCCAGAGCAAACCAAAAACGGGGACAATCATCACAAAATAAAGAAAAAATCAAAACTATCTCTTCTTCTTTCCACCCTTTCCGGATTTGGACCCACCAGCTGCTGAAGATGAGGCGGGCTCTTGCTTCTTGGTTCGGCCCGGATGTCGAGGCACCAACTCTGCAACATGAAGCATTAGCTGTTTTCCTGCATGCAAGTATATCACAAAACCCAAAGAGAAAATTAAGCCGCTGAATGACAGTTGTCTTTCTCATCAGACAATGGAAATTACCAAGCGTGAGATGCCTAAAAAATGAGTAGCCTCAGAGAAGAAAAGTTTATAGATATGTGCTCAAGGGACAAAATCAGTAAACTATTTAAGTGTTATTTGGTGGTAGACGGCAAGGAAACTACCATGCATTTCTTTTTTACAATAAGCTGTTCTCTAAAGAAGCCAACAAGAAAAAGCATACAGGGTAAAACAGAAGTCCAATAACTATAATATACAACAAGCTTGTGTAAAGAAGCAATCATGTGATTTGTAAAAAAGTTCAATCTCGACCATTAATTTCATGACTTGTCACTAGATACTAGATGGACACTCTTAGCAATCGATTCATAATGCAATGTGCACAGTAAAGAGACGTTTCCAGAGTGAAAATTTCAACATATTTATGTTACGTTAAAAATAAAAACGCACATTGGCAAAGCAGATGAAGATTTGACAGCGTCAATATACTCTTCATTAAATAATACAATCGAGTCACTTTGAACAACAACACAACATGGAATTCCTTTTTTTACATTCTTGGCTTTAGCTACAAACGGAGCATAAAGCAGATGCCACTCTTTCTACTTCCAGCCACAAACATTCTATATGAACTCATTTGAATCCACGGATACACGGAGTTTGATCCAAATCACTAATCCATTGAGGTTTCCCTTATATGTTCATCATAAAAAGGATTTGCAAATCCTTCATAAATATATTACACATCCTTTCGTAAGATTCTAAATCCAATCAAGAAAAAACCAATCATTCAAAACCCTCTTCCCAAATCCAAATCTTTCAATGGCTCTAACCCGTAGATCACACAAAGCTGCTCAATATAACATCCTCACACTAAGCCAGAACTACACAATATGGTACAAATAATCCCTGCAAACATGAAGTAACTAATAAAAATTCAAATTACGACAACTTACTCGAAGAAATCACCGGATTGCAGAGGCTCCCATCTTCCCTTTTCAACAGAACCCTAACCCTCCCTCTTTGCATAAAATCACGCGGATATGCCTTCTCAGCCTAATACAGAAACCAATCCGAAAATCAGTAAATCTAACAACCCACATTAGAAGGGGAAAAAGGGTACATAAGGAGAAAAATGAATCGTAAATCAAGAGATACCTCGATCACGCAGGGCAGCTTAAGGTGGACGCAACAATCGTAAATCTCGGCGCAGGTAGGGTTTTCACATGCTTTTCCGGCGTTAATCCGGCGGCCCTCAGCTAGGGTTTTCTTCGAGTTTATATAAATTGGGTAAAGGATTACCCATCTCTTGATATTCTGCATATCCACATCCATTTTTCTTACGAAATCCAGAAAGCAAACCAAAAAAAAAAAATGGCTGCAAAAATGAGATCAAACCCCCAATGACATAATAATTAATAAGTAGTATCGTGGTCCGTGCAAATGCACAGAACTATTAAAAATAAATTAAATAAAAAAACATAAATAGAATAAATAATTTTTATATGCAATTAAAATAGACTACTATATGCTACCTCCTATTTTTAATATTTGAGAAGTTGAACATTAATTAAGAATATATATTTTTTGTCAATAATAATAGTGAATATGAAAAGACGTAATGTATTTATTAGCTAAATGAGGGTAATAATAGAAAAATATGTACAAAAGTTCCAAAATGATATTTATTTGGTTAATAGTTGATAAAACCAAAATGACATTTAAAAAAAAATAGGAGGGAGTACAATGTTTATATTTGTATATTTTATTTCTTATTATATATCAGTATCTTGTGTCTTTCATTTGTAACTGGAGAAGCAACAATGTAAAGTTCAGAGTTAAAAGCCTAAAAGTATAAACACATATAATGTTGGAATATGTGTTTATAAATCATTCTCTTGAAGAATCTAACTTTATGTCTCTATTTTTATTATAGAACATCTAATCGCATACAACATACCGATGAAGGTTTGATTGTCAAAAGTTAAGGGTGATTTAAAAAAAAAAAAAATTCATGGTAAACATTGGTCTCGTAATTAATCAATGAGAAAATTACATCGTTCACCTACAATGTTTGATTTTATTTTCACATCTATATAGTTATTTTCTGATTGCAATTATACTAATTTTTGTTGTTTATGAAATATTGATTTGTATTTTTATATAAAAACTATATATATGTGTGTGTGTGTGTGTGTGTGTGTTTTTTTTAATGGAGAGATATTTAGTGGGTCACATATTTAGTGTTAAAATCAATTATTCATACACACCACATCAACCTTAATTCACTATTTATCAACTCATATTATTTTAATTGACCATCACATCAAACCATCTCTTTCATACTTTTACATCAAATCATTTTAATTATTTTATTTTATATATTATTTTAATATACCCACTAACAACTAACCATACCACCTTTTTCAAAATTAACCAAACTAAACCAAATATCCAAACAAAACAAAAAATTTCTATAAACAAACATGCTCTTACTATTTTTAGTAAGTGAGTTGCCTAATTATATAGTAATAGATAACGGAGTGAAAATGGGCAAGGTTAACCACCTAATGGCCCATGTAATTAAATTAGCCCTTTACCCATTAACAATTGTTTACCCGAAATAGGCCCAAATTATATAAAACGCCCGCTATTCAGCGACGGATCTAGAAATTTTTACGAGGCAGGGCAAAAAATAGCTCAAACATTTTAACCATATTGCACAAAGCACTTACATTAACAATTAAATAAATTATTGGAACAATTGGATGTTGAGGGGTACTCTATTCAATTTGTCTTTGACTTAATGCTAAAAATAAAATTGAGAATGACGTCTGGTTATTTTATTTTGCGTTTTTATTAATATTAAGAAATATACTAAAAATATTTTACAATTATTTTTCATTCATTTTTTGTGTAATATGAAGTAAACAAGTCATTTTGAAATATAATTTATTAACTTAAAAAAGCCTAAATGTCATTATTTCTGTTCATTTTATTTTATAAAGATTTCCTTATGGATAATCTTTATATATATAAATGTAGAGTTTTTCATTGTCAATTTCCAACGTTCTGTAATTCGATATGTTAATTTCAAAGGATTCAAAATAGTGCATATAAAAATGGATCTTTATCTAGAACTTTCAAGTTTAAACGCTTAGGTAACATAAATTGTAAATATATTTTAAAAGTTAATAACATTTGTATATGTTATCATTTTTTATATATGATAACTTAAATTTTGTCAATGTATAATTTGACATTCATATTGTATATGTAAATTAAAATAATTATATCCAACTGATATCTATCAATAAAAATTTAAGTATTTATCAATTATAATTAAAAAACAATAAATTTATCTATCAAGCTTATTATACGATATAAGTACTAAAAATGTTCTAATATAATATCGTCGAATCCGACTGGTGAGGTGTATCATTTTAAATAAAAATAATTATGTTATTTT